AACTCATTTGATACTCAGACTATCGTATATTGATTGCGATTTTTTCGTGGATTTAGACCAAAATCTACCGAAACTACAATATCTGACCGTTAATAGTCCCGAATTTAAATGCGATCGCATATGTATAAGATATTTATCAGCACTTAAATCATTAACCAGTTTATCAATTAATAACAATACTGATGTATTAATCAAAAGATCGGATATACATTTGTTGGTCAGTCAGTGCCTAAAATTAAAACTAATTGAAATCGTATCGAAAATGACTTTTAGTTACTATTATAATGATAGGCGAATCAATATATTGCGAAAATATAAAACAAGAAAAAAATCATTACTACTGTATAATAACAGTAATATATTACCATAAAATATATAATAATTATTGCAAAAATGATATTTTACGAAAAAATACTAGTCTATTATATTTCATGTATTTTTTTATAGTAATATTTAATTTATATATTTATATTTTTTTATATTATATTTCTATAGTCAATATAAACTTATTTTAATATAAACTTATTTTAATATAACTTTATTTATGCTAAAAAAATGAAAATCGTGTATTTAATTTAAAAAAATTAAATATCAGATTACTTATACAAATAAATATTATATATATATATATATATCATAGTATATATTAAAAATGCTCATTTATTTTTTTTTAATACTTAAGCTACTAATAATCTCAACAATTGTATAATTATTTATAAAATAATTTTTATTAGTATTAAGTAATCTAATATACAAACTGAATATAATATTATCATAAAATATTTAATCTTAAAAATAAATAAATAATAATAATAACTCTTAAAAGTGATAACATTTTTATTTAAATACACAATTCACTAGTTTATGGGATACCAGTGCTGCAAAAGCGATACGAGAGGGGTCGGCAGGGGTTGACATGTGGTGGACATGTTTTTGTGAACTTTTATTACTTAATTAGCAATTAGTTTAGATTGTTATAACTTTTAAAAAAAAAAAAAAGTTAAAAATCCATTGATGTGCTAATTAAGTAATAAAAGTTTTCACAAACTATAACACATGTCTATCACTCAACCCCCTACCAACCCCTCCTCCCATATCACTGGATACAGCATTGGTATCCCCATAAAACCAGTGCAAATATGTGCTGATATGTGCTGGCCTATCGTTTACATTATTCTAGTTTTTAGTTGTTGAGATAGTTATAACTTATAACTTATAAGTGTTTTCAACCAACAAAAAAAACTTAAGCAAAACTTACACTAATTTTTATTTTAAATTAAATATTGTGAAAACAACTCTAAAAAGTTATGAATATTATAATAATAATAAAAATACCTGATATTTGACACAAAAATAATAATAATTTAAAAATACTAATTTCAATATTTGATTCAACAATCGGTCTATTATTATATAATTGACTAAATAAATGATTTAATTTAAAAAAATAATAATTAATTTTTATATAAATATCTTAAATACATATACAGTATTTATTTATTTGACATTTAAATAAATTAAAAAAAACTAGTTTTTAACAGTAATAAAAATAATGATTTCCATGGAAACAGTAAACACAGTATAATAAGAAAACGTGTAAACAATTAAAAATGTTTTTATTTTTTTAGTTACAGTTTGTTGTTATTATAAACAGTTAGTTGTAGTGATTTTCATCACAAAAAAGTCAATCAATCAGTTAAATGGTTATTATATTTACAATTAATTAATAATTAAAAATTGTTTCAACACTACAACTGATCTATGGATTGATTGATTGTCTTATTATTTATAAAAAAAATTGTTTATAGCAATCACAATAATCACAACAACAATGGTATCATCACTTAAGTCCTCATCATTTGATCGGTTCGGCGACGATTTGGCAGCACTTCTGCTAACATATCTATCACTTAGAGATCAGTTACGTCTAGAGTGTGTATCCAAACAGTTCCAGTCGTCGGGTATTCAACTCAGGACTCGTATGACAGCCGAAGACATATCGAAAATGAATTTGAAAAAGAAAAATATTTCCGGTTATAAATACTTCTTCGACATTACCAAATGGTTGATACTGATGAAGAAGTGTCCAAATATTTCTATGGTTGAGATACCCGATGCCCGATCTTATCGGTCAGATTTATTGCTAACTATTCATCGATGGCGCCGACAATTTTGGCCACATCTGCGGCAAATCAATTGCATACCAAACAATATGACGGCCAACGATACAACTTTTTGGTGTCAAATGTTTACCGAAATGATTACAAAAATATCGATTAACTATGAAGAAGATTATTATTCAGTTAAGCCATACCTACCGGCGATGACTAAACTCGAAAACCTATCGATTGGACGGACAGACAACAACAACAACAATAAGTTTTTTGTTGACAATCAATTGCCAGTAAAATATTTGCGTCGATACAAGACATTCATCGACGGTAGCCGTAATCTTAAGATACTTGTACTCAAGTTTTATTACACTGATAGTGACAATACAATTAGGACAGTACTGTTGTTGATCGCTAGGCGATTACTACGGCTGCAACAATTGGGATTAGTATTTAAGCGATCAATAGATGAATCGATAGCCAAACGATTGATCAAAATTGCCAACAGTTGCCATCGGCTAAAGTATTTCTGGTCAAACATTTCAGTGGACTCGTTGGCCGCTTACGAACAGACATACAATGCTTGCAAACAAATGAAACAATTGAAACGATTGAATCTTAATCTTAAATACGATGATAATAATAATGATAATCAAGTAATTGATCGAAAACTGTATGAATCACTCAAACCAGTCAATTGTTGGCCACAATTGACACGATTGATACTTCGTGTATCGCATATTGATTATGAATTTTTCAATAATTTACACCAAAATCTACCGAAACTTCAATCGCTTGATATTAATTGTCCGGATTTTATATGCGATACGATTTCTATGCTTTACATATCGAGATTGAAATCATTAATCAGATTAACAATTAATACAAATACTGATGTTTGGATCACCGAAACTGATATCCAACGTGTGATCAATCGGTGCCTTAAATTAAAACAAATTGAAATTATATCGAAATTTAATTTTCATTTCTATTATAATGAAAAAAAGATTAATTTATTGCGATCTCAATCATTACTAGAATATACCTAAGAGTATATACCTGTAAATTAATATACAATTTTGAAAATGATATTATTTTTTTAAAAAAAATACTCGTCTATTATTAAATAATAGATACAAAAAACTTATTTTTTTATTCTCTTTATTATAAAATAGTTATTACATTTTATAATATTATTTATTAATTACAATTATACTTTTTTATTAAATATTATTCTATATACATATACATATACATATATATATATATATATATATAATTTATATTTGATATGATATCTATTATCAATATTATTTTAAACTACAAACTTTAGTACAAATTTTTGCTATAAATATATAACTTTAAATCAAAATATACAATATATTTTTTTAATATTATATATTTTAGTTTTTATTAATTAAAAATATGACATTAATTAACCATTTTTAGATTTTAAAAAAAAACATTATATATTTTGGGTAAATAATCACATAATTTGTTACACAACAGTATTATATTTAAATACTTGTATTATTAATAATAATTAATAAATAATAATATAATAGTTTATTGCATAATGTTTACTACATTTTTTACATTTTAAGACATGTCTAGATGTTAAGGTCCGCTTCAATACAATTAATCCAATTCAATGGTATATATTTGTATTTATGAATTATTTTATTTTTTTTTAAAAACAATGAGTTTTTGCATTTTTTAAAACATTTATTTTTTGTAAACCTATTACACAGAAAAAAATATTCACTAAAAATATTGTTATTGAGTTAACTAATATAGCAAAACTAACTATAGAAAATATTTACTTAATAGTAAAAAATATATAGAACTTTAAATGTTATATGATAATTAAAAATATTATGGTAGATATAATATTATTAATAAACAATAGCTTATTTTTGATTAAATATTTAAATTATTTTCGTAATTTTTTTTAGTTAGTAATGAATATGAATTGCTTTTAGTTAGAGAAATAAAAAATCATTTAAAAAAATATTTATTTCTTTAATACTAATCGTAACAATAAAAAAAACAAAATAATACCATTAAATAAAAAAACAGTTTTAGCCAAAAAAAAACAGTTTCACCTATTTTGACAGTGATTTATATATATTAGAGAGCGAAAAGTTTCGGACCCGTACCTGATTTGATACCTAAAATCTCGGACTCGGACCTGACCTAACATAGGGTACAAATTTACCTGACCTGACCTGACCTGACTATGTAGGTCCGAAAATAATTTTATCAAAAAACAATTTTATTTATTCTATACCCGCAACAAATTTCTCTAAATTAACTTTAATTACTCGGGATTAACGATAACTGATTGTAGATCTAACTTAGATTCTAATAAAGTTAATATGTTATTATTTATTAGATCAAAACCATCATCTTTTGTAATATTTTATCTTTAATTTATACAACTATTTTATAAATAATAATTTAATAAATTTTGTGTTTGATTGTCATATTTTGTAATAATTGTCGTTTAAATAATGAATAAAAAAATTTCGGACCTGACCTGACCAAAAAATTTTGGTGTTCGGACCCGTACCTGACCTGAGCCCTAACTTTTACCTGACCTGACCTGAAAAATCAGGTCAGTTTTCAGTCTCTAATACTGTATATATACTATGTTCAAGTTGTTGTTGTTTTCTTAGTTTAAAAGTTAAAGTTCAACAAACTCGCTGTCAAAATAGGTGAAACTGGTTTTTATTAAATTATCATCACATAATTTATTACATAATTAATTAATTAAATAAATAAATGTTTGTATAGTTTCTATGGAAACAATATAATAAACACATTATGCAATACAAAATGTGTAAACAATTATTGTTTTATTTATTTTTTTATACAAAACAGTTGTTAAATAACTGTTAAGTGATTTACCACAAGAAGTCAATCAAATTAGTCAACAAATGGTAAATACTTTCTAATATCACAACCGGTCTATTAAATTGATTGATTGTCTTATCATTTCATCTAAAAAATATAGTGATAACAACAATGACAACACTTAAGACATCATTTGATCGGTTCGGCGATGATTTGGCTGAACTTATCCTAAGATATCTATCACTTGAAGATCAGTTGCGTTTAGAGTGTGTATCCAAACAGTTCCAGTCGTCGGGTATTCAACAGCAAACAGACATCAATAACATTAGGACATTGAATATCTATAGTGTTTCAAGTGTTTCGGGCGAAAAGTATTTCGACAACAATAAGTGGTTATCGCTGATGAAGAAGTGTCCAAATGTCTGTAACGTTGAGATTGCGGGTCCAAGAGATTTTCGTACAGATATATTGCGAGCCATTGATGATCGGTGGCGCCAACTATGGCCACAATTGCGGCGATTAGACTACTTGACTGTCAGTATGACTGTTGAAGATATCGGGTTTTGGTGTCAAAAGTTTACGAAAATGATTACCAATATATCGATTGCCTGCAAAAATGATTACAATTCACTGAAGACATACTTGTCATCGATGACTAATCTACGGGATCTATCAGTTGGTCTCATAGAGCATACGTTCAGTGGTGGTGGCGACCAATTGCTGGTCAACGGTTTGCGCCGATTTAGTTGCTATAGACTGGACAATCAGTTGACCAAATTCGAGACATTCATTGCAGGCAACAGTGATCTTCAGACACTTTTGCTAACATTTCATCTGAAAGATACTGAAGAAACTGTTGTCTCAGTGCTGTCATTGATTGGACAGCGATTACAACGACTGAAACAATTGGATTTAATGTTTGTTCAGACAATAAACCTGTCGATAGCTAACCAATTGATGACAATTGCCAACAGTTGTCGGCTAATAAAGTATCTTAAATTACATGTATGGGTGGACTCATTGGCCGCTTATGAGGTGACATACTGTTCTGTCAAACACATGAAACAATTGAAACGATTAAATTTTCATCTATTATTTGATAACAAAAATTTAGGACGATTGATAACAAAAGTCGTTTGGTATTCAACGGCAAACTGTTATTAACAGTAATAACATTAAGACACAGAATATGTATAGCATTCCTATAAGTCTTTCGGACAAAAAATACTTCGACAACAATAAGTGGTTATCATTGATGAAGAAGTGTCCAAATGTTCAAACAATTAGGATTTTATTCGATGCTAGAAAAGAGCAGATAATTATTTTGCAAACCATTCATCGGGTTTGGACTAAGTATTGGCCACAATTGCGGCAAATTGAGTGCAATTTTAATTATATGACTGTCAATGAAATACAGTTTGTATGCGAAATATTTCCCGAAATGATTAGAAAATTTTATATTTTTACAGAAGAATTATTAAACAAAATCAAACCATACCTGTCATCGATGGTTAATCTGCGCCAACTATTCGCTCGAAAAACTGACGACTTGTTTATTGGCGGCCAATTGGTTGTCAAAGGTTTGAATCGCATTTCAATGTTTTTAGTAGACAATATTGAGATACCATTATTCAAGACTTTTATTGATGGAAACACTGATCTGAATGAAGTTCTTATATACTTTACATCGATTTATTCCGCGGATACTGTTATGTCTGTGCTGTCACTTATCGGGCGATTACAAGGATTGCAACGATTGGACATATATTTTGGAACGGTATTGAATTTTTCAATAGCCGACTCTTTAGTGACAATTGCTATGAGTTGTTTGCGGCTAAAGTTGTTTAAATTAACTCTAAAAGTGGATTCATTAACCAATTATATGGAGACATACAGTGCTGTTAAACTAATGAAACAATTGAAACGATTGTATCTTAATTTGAATTGTATTAACAATATTAATAATCTGATAATAATTGGCAGCAAATTATATACAACACTACAACCGATTAACTGTTGGTCACAATTAACTCATTTGAATATTTGTTTATCACATATTGATTACCAATTTTTCAATGATTTGCACCGAAATCTACCGAAACTTCAATTGCTTGACATTAATGATCCATTCGGTCTATTGGACAGTATATCTATGTTAGTCATATCGAGATTGAAATCATTGACCACATTATCTATCGTTACAATCAATGAATTGTTATCAATCAGTGAACGGGATGTACGACAAGTGATCAACGGATGCCTGAAATTGAAGAAAATTAAAATTTCTTCGAAAGAATTTGTTTATATTGATTACAATTCAGATAAAATCTATTTGTTTCAAACAAATCAATTAAAATTAACGGCTCCTACAAGAAAACTACGATAATTAGTATAATAAAAAAAATTATAATTAATTTTTATGTTTGTTTATAACAAAAGTTAATTACAATCAAACTGTATTGACACACAAAAAATGCTAATTTCTATTATTATTATTATTAAATCATTAAAAAATAATATTTTTATTTACACCTTGTTTTATTTTATTTTATTTATTTGATTATTTAAATATAATTATCGGATCTCAATTCACTGGCCAACAGGTTTTCATTGGACTTCATTATATCGATGCCATTGGCACTACCGGTGCTTATATTAGTAATACCAATATCACTGTTGTCTATACCGGTCATCATTATATTGTCGTCACTTTGATTCAACAATTGTTTTCTCATTAGTTGCCATTTAAGACTACAATAGAAATATATATTAAAAAAATGATATTAATATTTTTACTTAATTGTAAATATTGTTTAGTTAATTAAAATTACTTATATAATTTTTTTTAATTATTAAAGTTAATACCAGTATATTGTAGTTTTAAAATAATTATTTTTTATTTGTATTATAGATTAAATAGGGATTAAAAAAATATAATTCAAAGTTTTTATTTTTCTAAAAATTTTAATTACTGTCATATTTGCTGATGAAATACAATGACATAAATAAGTAATTTATAATAAATAATAAAAAATTCAATAAAAACACAAATAATGTGTTTATAATTATTAAATATTTATTACAAACATTTGCAACAAAAGTTTGAATGTATTGCACACTAAATATATTGAACTATATATTCAATACATTATTATTGGACAACAAATTACATACAGTTTTTGAATTTCAGTTGAATTTGTGACACAAAATACAAAACCAATTATTGATTGCGAAGAGATTGACCACTAAATAAAAGTATCACTTAATTGATTCCATAACTTTGTTTGATATGACAACCGGTTTAATTGATTGTCTATTGATTTATCGTTTGTTTATAGCAATCTCAACAACAATGGTTTCACTTGTGATGAACAATAGGTAATCATTTGATCGGTTCGGCGATGATTTGGCAGAAATTATACTAAAATCACTTTAATATAAGTTACGTTTAGTGTGTCTGTCAATCGAAATATTTAAATTAAAATAATTTAACAAACATGTGAATTGCTATTTAAGAAATAATGATTTTTGATGCATCTATGTATGTCAATAATTACTAGATATTACAAGATAATCTTATTGTTATAATAAAATAAAAATTAAAAAATAAAAATTAATTTTTATTATTGTTTATTACAAAAGTTAATTACAATCAATCTGTATTATTATTAAAGTATTAAAAAAATTACTTTAATATTTTTATTTATATTTTTTTTATTATTTAAATATAATTATCGGATCTCAATTCACTGGCCAACAGGTTTTCATTGGACTTCATTATATCGATGCCATTGGCACTACCGGTGCTTATATTGGTAATACCAATATCACTGTTGTCTATACCGGTCATCATTATATTGTCGTCACTTTGATTCAACAATTGTTTTCTCATTAGTTGCCATTTAAGACTACAATAGAAATATATATAAAAAAATGATTAATATTTTTTTAAAAAATTATAAATATTGTTTAGTTAATTGAAATTACTTATAAATAATATAAGCCATAAAAATGTTTGAAACAATTAACATAACAATAGCAATAGTGTTAACTATGGACAACGTATCGACACTGAGTCCATGGCCACCGCCACTACTACTGTCCACTAGTAGTTCACTATAACTGTAGACACTGTCCGGTGCCGGACATCGATATCTTAGTTTATCGATTGGCAAACATATGTTGGGACAGTCGTGCTGTTGATGACTGTCGGCACAACTATTCGGTACTATTGGCTGCATAATCGGGTCGAGTATTTTGAAACCATTAATTTGTTGCCGATTGATGTCGACCGCACTGTGCAACTGACCTACACTAACATTATACCGGTGACTCTTATACATTATCTGAATACTATGTATTCTGAGTTCAATATCGGGCATCCTATACAACATCAACTCGTTGGCCAAATACAGGTCACCGTTCAATACGGCCATTGAGGTCAACGAATCGAAAAACTCTGGCGATTTCATGAAGAATATCTCGTTATTGCCGGTGAAGTCAATCGAGTAGAGCGAGTGGTCGCCGATATCAATGAAATAGTAACGCTGTTTGTTGTAATCGATGGTCAAATGATAGGCCTGACGCCGGTTACGGTAGAGTACAGTTAGATTACTGCCGTCCAGATTGGTGTTCATTAGTTTCGGATCCCAACCGACATCACTCCAGACCAACACCGATGTCATGGCATTGATGTGCAAATCCCGTGGGTTTTCATCCGTTAGCTGACATACCGTATACATGATGTCTACATCATCGAGACTCAACACCCGTATACTCTTAGATTGTATGTCCAACCAGTAGACCAGGTCGTGGATCCAGTCCAGTGCCAGACTGTTTGGTCGGCCATGGATGGCAAACTCGACAGTCGTAACGTTGGCCGCCGTTTTCCAAATCATACGCTGTCTGGACTCGTCATACCAGATCAGCTGACCATTCATGATATTATGATCCATCAGCTGAGCCGTCACTTTGTCGCCATTGTAGGCTACGGTCTCGATGCCGGCCAACTGGGCTTTGAGTATTGCATTATGAGCTGCTATCAGAAACTTGGTGTCCGTACCTTTCATTAAAAAAGTATAGCAAATGAGTTTTTTAGAGGACAGGGAGGGGAATATCATAGTGTGTACACAACTAAACACATACCCCATTCCTTGACCTTATAGGATATCTTAAAGCCGCGGCCAGTGATGGCCGAATCGGTAGTAAACTTCAATCTCAATCGATTTGTATTGGATATAAAGTTTGCAGGCATACCGTTGCCGCTAAACTTTTTGTACGTGTAAAGTACGTGCAAAAAATCCGAGTCCTGTTCCGTTTGGAAGTCGTCAAACATGACGACAATGTTCTGATTGGTACCAACACTGACCGTCCACTCGCACACCATATTGTCGTAATAGCCGTCCGGATAGCCGGGACTATGGATAACGCCCTGAGTGTCGTTCAATGTTAGATCGCATCCTAAATGTTAGGTTAAAAAAATATATAACAAATTTTATTGTTGTTGTTGTTGTTAATAATAATTATAGTTAATTAATTGTTATCCAAAATAAATATATTAATTTAATTGGAATATAGAATATAAAAATAATTATAATTTTTAAAAATTATTAGTTCATATAAATATTTAATTATATTATAATTATTGTATTAATTATATATTGATATACAATATACAGTATATAATTTTTAATAATTTTAACAAAGTTATTTATTAATTAAAATAATACTGTACAATAATATATAAAAAATTTTTATATGTTATTAAATTATATTAAATAAAGAGTTAAATTAATTAAAAACTATTGTTATTAATCTTTTCAAATATTATTAAAATTATAGTATTAATTAATTTAAAATTATGTATCATTTTTCACATCTATGCACATAAACAATAACTAACTAAAAAAAATTATAGATAAATTAATAAACTGTAAATTATTCATTAATATAAATTTTGTTTGTTTTAATAGCTATAACAATTTCTAATATTTTAGATTGACTAGACAAAACTTTTAAAAAATTATTAAAGTTAATACAGTTTATTGTAGATTAAAAATTTTATTAAATTTTTTGTTATAATCCTATTATATTATGTAAATTTTTTTTGAAATTCAATTATGATATAATCAATAAAACTATTATTTACAATAACTTCTACTTTTATTATAATTTTATAAACTACTAAGTTTGTCAATTATTTAAAATTACTGTAAATCATAAATAACTAAAAAAAAATAAATGTTTATAAATATTGTAAATAATTAATTTATATAAAAATTTTGTTTGCTTTAATAGCTATAATATTTTTTTTTAAAATATAGTACTCATAATTATAGTTAATTAAATTTTTTAAAAAATAAATATTTATTACAAATTCACATTATTAATAATAATAATAATATATTTTATATAATTTACACACAAAAAACAAATTAACAACAAAAAAATCATACCGTATTTGACTGCTTTATAATTCAATAGGAAAGCCGTACCGCGTTTCGTATAATAGTGTTTGTCGGCCACAAACCGTATATAGATTTGATTACCGGACGACACAACACTTTTGTTGCTATGATAGCGCCGGTAGGAGACCAACGGTTTGGATCTAATATTACGGCCGTCGTGTACATAGAGTTTATCAAATGCCCGCAACTGGACATCACGTATGGTCAACAATATCGATCGGTTACCTGAAACGGTAACTGTCCATTCGCAGGTTATTTCGTTAGGATAGGTACCCGGATAGCCGGGTGACTTGATTTCGCCCTCATTATCCGTAAAAGTACCGTTACATTGGACATCGTTTAGATGATGTTCACTTTCAGCTGTACCTACGGTCTCCGGTTCCTCGTCTTCGGCACCGATAGAGTCCATGTCAAAGGTATCCGAGTCGTCGTAGTCGTTGCTGATGATTGTCACAAACGGTTTGACTGAAAAAAACCAAACAAAAAATTAAAAAAAATTTTAATTAAAATAAAAAAATTATTTATTTATTTTATATACTTAATAATTAATATTTTAATGAAATAAATTTTATATTAAACATATGATTTATAGTTTAATGTAAAATTTATATATATATATATTTGTATAAATAAAATTAATATTATAATATAAATAGGATTTAAATACAAAATATTATTAATTTATAATAAAAAATTATTGGAAATAAAAATAATAAAATTAAACTTTAATATAAACAAATTAATTTAGTAAACATACTATTTTTCATGAAAACAATGCTAAATATTATATAAATATTTAGCAATAGTTTTGTTTTGTTTTTCATGTTTTAATGTAATTTTGATGAAATTTTTTTTGATGAAATAAAATATAAATGATATCACAAATTTCCACTTATAATTTGAATAAAATATAAATTAAAAATTTATTGTTTTATTTTTGTAAATGTTTTTTTTATTTTAAATTGACAACAACATCAACCACAACAACAAATTTAATTTATAAAAAAATAATACTTTATTTTTTGAGACAATTTAAATGAAAAATACTTAACAAAAATAACAATTATAAAAATATATATTTAGTTATTTACAAAAACTAATTAATATGTTAAATTTTTATTGCAAAATTTGATGTCAAAAATAAACTATTAAATATCATAATAAAAAAAGTAAAAATAAAATCTACTTAAAATATTACATAAGTATTAGAGATACTGATATTATAATTATTATATTAAGTTTATTTAATTTTTAATTAGATTTTGATTTTTTGTTGTTGTTTTTATTGAATGTTATCAACTAAATAGTATATACTATGATATTAGTATTTATAATCGTAATTTTGATTAGTAAAAATAGAAAATAAATTTTAGTTTCTATACAACTAAAAACTTGTTGCTATTTGTAAACTATATATTGCTTATCATATTGTTTATAATATAACAAAATTTTAGACAGTGATCTAAAAAAAATAAATAATTTTTAGTTATATACTAAAAAATATATATTTACAGTATATACACTTAATAAAATACAATTATTTTTTTAAAAAAATAAATATGAAATAATTATGACATACATAAATATAGTTAAATAGCTTATAAACTTTATATATAAATTTAGTTGTTAATTTTACTAAAAAAAATAATAGTTAAAATAAAAATTAAAAAAATTAGTTCATCACTGTCAATAATAAATTAACTTAAAACTAATAAAATGTTTACAAAATGTTTTGATTGATTAAAAAAATTAAATTAATAAAATATTATGTACTCTACTGTATAATAATTAACTGAAGTCTAATAATAATAATAATACTATATGAAAGTGTGTACTTTATTTACAAAAATAAAATTATCATTTAACTAAAAAAATTACTGTAAAATAGTAATAAACTGTTATATTATTGAATTAAAACTAAAACTAAAAAATTAATCATTAATTTTATCTTTAATTATATATATATATATATATATATATTTCAATAATAACCATCAATTTGTTTGTATCAATATTACTGAATAGCTTAGTATTAGTGCCAACAATGATATCATTGTTTTGGTATCAATTTTATACAAACCATAGACCGTAAAGTACAGCTCATTTCGCATACTATCTAAACGACTGGCCATCGACTGGTACAACAATACCTGTCCAACCGGTATATCACTATTAATATTAGTATTATTATTATTGATAACACCGTTGGTCAGCAACTGTTGATTAGTATCGATTGTTTCCCGTTCGTCCAGTCGGTCGACAAGTCGTCCATAGCTACGCGGCACCAAATCGCTGACCAAACACACGGCCACTATCGAGCACATGGACTCAAACAGTGATCGCAAAGCAAAATCGTAGGTACGTCTAAACTCTAGTACTAGTATACAGATATTGGACACCGATATAACACTGTTGACGGTCAGCGTTACCAGAATATAGTCACTGATATAGTCGTCAAACTGGCGTACAATTTGTCGCGTTTTTATAATCGCCTGATATATGTGTTGAAATTGTTTGGCGTTGTTGTCGGCAGCGATATATGATCGATGGCCAATATCATCGCCAGCACCGTTGACAGCCAGCAGCAGCAGTATATTGTCAAACATTTGCGACACCCGACAGGCCATATAGGCCATGACCGATACGATAGCCAATTGGCAATTATAGGCCAACAAATTGACAACAATTTTTATGGCTGACCATAGAATCGGTAATAATTGATGTTTTTTCAAATAATTCAACAAATAATATGATAATTCAATCGTCAATACGGCGACAATGTTTACGGTAACAATCATTGCACCGATTTTGCGTTCAGTTACCGATTTTATCGGTAAATATCGGCTATTTTCGGCTATAAATCTAAGAATATTCTGCGATCTCCTAAAAACCAAAAACCATGTAAATAGTCCTTGAAATCCATAGAGTATTTCACCGCAAATAAACAGCAAATAAACCAAATGTGTTTTACTGGTTGAATCAATTTGTTGTACACTGATATGTGGCACAAGTATGACAGCTACCAGTAGTCGGCACAGGTAGCCAATTGTCGACAACAATACTAGACTCCATACATAGAGTACAATACGTTTGGTAATTGATTTATTATTATTATTGAATTTTGTGCTAGATGCTAATTTAAATGATGCATTGCCCATTAATGTTTGATAGTAGATTAAATATGATAGACCTGTTAATTGATCATGTTGATTTTTTAATTGATTTACAAAATTTCTATCCATAAATGTTTATAATTTATGAGTTTCTTAATAAAAAAATTTATGCATATATTTTTAAATATATTTATTTATGCTATAGTATACTCTTAATGTATATTTTATTAAAATGTTAGGTAATAATAATAATAATACTAATATGTAATATAGATTTGTATAATAATACAATTATTTTGTTTACTGCTAGTTATTATTAAATTGAAATAATCTATAAATATTTCCCGTCTAATAATACTGTAATTGTTTTTTGTGTGTGACATATATTTAAATTTAGACAATAATATAAAATTAATTATATGAATCAGTGCATCATAAACTTCATTAATATATTAATAGATATGTATTGATTTTTTAAATTATTATTAAAAAATAGATATTTTATCTAAATGATTTACTGTAATATATGTACAAGTATTATAATATTGATATTATGATATTGATCTAATTTTGGTAAATAAAATAGGTGTGTTTTTTAATAGATATTTTATTGTAATATTATAATAATTATTTAATATATATATTTACTTTAATAGTTTTTTGTTTTAATGATATTTGAATACTAATTAAAAAAATAGATATATTATTAATATTAAAATAATAATAATAAAAGTATAATATCGATTATAAAAATAATTAATATATTTAAATATTTCTAATAGTTAATTTTGTTGTGTTAATATATATATATACAACTAATAGACAAAATAAAAATAAAATAAACAAAATATCTAATTAGTTAATATAATTAACTGTTATTTATTTTTCTATTACAATTTAAACAAAATAATAAATACATGTAAAATATATTTATGTACAGTATAATAGATTTTAATACTGTATATAAATATATAATAAAACTATTAGTTGACTATTAATTTCTGGTATCGCCTAATAAACCAAATAATTATCAAAAATAAGGCAATAGATAGCGTCAGATAAATCCATTCGACTATTAGAAACACATACGAGTGGTCATCGATAAACTGGCCGATGATTACCGGCGTAAACAGTGTACACACACCGCGTGCCATAACAATACCGGTACTCAACCGGTTGGTTAACGTAACGTACTGTTCGGTAAAGGCATAGACACCGGCAAACATTGCCGAAAATGCCCAACACATCAATACGGCGGCCACCCATAGAGCTACCAGATAGTAGTGGCCAATCACCAGTACACAGGCAGCGACTACTACTAGACTGTAGTGACCGTAAATAACAGGGTTTACGCCCACTCGTATCGTTAGCACGGCGTTGACTACTGTAAAAGCTGTATAGACCGATGTGGACACAATCATAATATCGGAACCGGTTTGCGGCGATACATCGACCGGTGATTTTTGCATATATGTAAAGATAAACTTAAGGAACTCCATCTGAAACAGTATGTAAGCCGTACACCAGGCTATAAATAGTACCCGCATAGCAGTTCCAGGTGTGTCCGGCCTGTCAAACAGTTTGACATGATTTACTTGTCTATCATCATCTTTATCTACCTTTCCTTCTATTGAATGTTGTTTGTATGGCTTTATAAAATACATGATTAACGATGACAGGGGAACTGGTAGTATATAGAGGTAACATATTATATAAAGTTAATAATGACATTATATTATAGACACCCACCTAAAATAACACATATTCCTATTGTAATGAAAGGCCACATAAGTTTTGCACGTCTATCGACCACTACATCGGCGCTAACTTTTCCGGTCAGATATGGCTTTAGTATAACCGATGTCAGTGTCGAACCGATACCATAGGAAAAGTCCTCGATATAGAGTACGGGTGCACTTCTGGTTGGCCATAACTCGACTGTCCATACGGTATACGAACACATGATAACACTGGAACAGAACCCGGATATGATAGCGCATACGTAGAGCACCGGTATATTTGGTACAACAGGTAGTACAGTGTTGGCAACGGTCAGTATAATAAAACATACGCCGACTACTAGTTGTCGGTTTAGGTATCGATAGGTTAGACCAACTGTTAAAACAAATAAACAAAAAAAGTGTTATAAAAATTAATAATATTTAATTATTATTAGGTTAGAGTTTGTTTGTTTTTTTTAAATAAATAAATAATTATTATACCAAATGTGCCGACAATATAGCCAACTGTTTCTAATGTCTGATACAATGATATCATTGTCATTGAGGTTTGAAATATGTATTGCATTTCAACCATAATTGTTGGGAATAATGAAAATATAAGTCCCTTTAAATTTAATTTGTTATAAACAAAAATATATGAGTAAAAAAAATAATTAGAAATTTTTAAAACTATTTTTAAAAAAAAATATTTATATATAATTATAAATTTGTAAAAATTATTTTTTAAAAATACTTGCATAAACCAATGTTGTAAATATTAAGTAAATAGTATAAAAATATTGATCCCAATCCCGTTTAATATTAGCATAATTTATATTAATTTGCATTGTTTAATGAAAAAAAATAGTTAAATAATATTATCACTAGAATATTATACACAATATATCACTTAATTAATAAAATTATTTTATAAATAAATTTCATTAATAATAATTGATTTTTAAAATTTTTGTTTTTTTTGAGCTGGGTATTTAAATAATACAATATCTAACTTAATTGTAATTTATTTTTTTAAAAAAAAAATTATATTTATTAGCAATATTATTATTTTTTAGTTGTTGCTAATTCATAATTATGACTATAATTTTTTTAATTATTAATATTACATATTAATTGTCATAAAGTTTATAGATCTAAATGTTGATAAATAATAATAATTTATAATAATAAAAAAATATATAATATTAGCTAAAAATACAGTATATACTGTATAATAAGATAATGTTGAAATAAAAATATTTACTTTCAATTTATTATAAGTATTTTTATTATACGTATTTGATTAATAAAAATAATTTATTTTGTAATGAAATGTTAAAATGAAATAAATAAAGTACTTAACTGTCCCCACAATAAAATGATAAAATATGTGATTATATATATATGAATATATGTATGTCGATACTATATATATACTAGTATATACTATATATATACAGTATATATATGTGTGTCAGTACATTTTGCACTGGTATAGACAAGACAATAAAAAACTAACTGTGCTAATGCTAATTATAATTAAATGATAATAAACTATAAAACTAAAGTATATATATATAATAAATAGTTTTCAAAAAAATAACTTATATATTACTATACAATACACTTGAAAATAATAATAATAAACATTATATATATTGTTTAATATTTTTAAAATAACTAAATAATTAATTAAAACTACATTATTTATATTATAAAATTTATTGAAACTACTATAATATTATTATTATTTGTAGTAGTTTTATTTGACCACTAAATTTTCGTAACGCCTAATAAGCCATATAATCGGCAAAAATATGGCAATAGATAGCATCAAATAAATCCATTCGACTATTAGAAACACATAGGAGTGGTCATCGATAAACTGGCCAATGATTACGGGTGTAAACAGTTTACAGACACCGCGTGCCATAATAATACCGGTGCTCAACTGGTTGGTAAACGTAAAATATTTGGCTGTAAACGCATAGAGACCGGTAATCATTGCCGATAAGCCCCAACCCATCAATATGGCGGCCACCCATAGAGCCGTCAGATAGTAGTGGCCAATCACCAGTATACAGGCAGCTACTACTACTATGGCGTAGTAACCGTAAATAATTGGATTTATGCCCACCCGTACTGTTAGGACTGCGTTGACTATCGTAAAAACAGTATAGACTGATGAGGCTGCCATCATAATGTCGGAACAGGTTTGCGGTGACACCTGGACCGGTGACTTTTGCATGTATGTAAACATAAACATGAGGAACTCCGTCTAAAAAAACAATAATAAACTAAAAAATAGTAAGTCTATCGGTTTCGGGTACAATTGGATTTTGATGGATCCAGGTATTTTTTGAAACTATATAAAATACTGTATGTAGAGGTAGTTAAATTGGTTAGTTAGCCATTGAGGGCATAACTACCACTACTATCTATAAACACTTAATATTAGTAATTGGTTTTTCAAAAAAAAACACCTGGATTATTTTATATTTCATGTCAATCAATTGGTGCCCAAACCGATAAACTTGATACTGTTGTACACCAGCCGATAAACAGCACCCGCATCATAGTCTGCGGTGTATCCGATCGGTCAAACAGTTTATCATTGGCTGTAGTGTTAGTCGGCATAACCTCATCGCCATAGTTTGATGACTGTCCTATTGAACACTGTTCCCGTCTATTGCAATGTTTTTGTTTGTATGGTTTTATTAAGTACATGATCAACGATGATAGAGGAACTGTATGTACGAAATATTTTTAGGATTTAATTTAAAAATTAATTAATGGAAAAGTAGTAATATTTATGTTGTTGTTGTTGGGCACACACCTAAAATAACACATATTCCTATTGTAATGAACGGCCACATAAGTTTTGCACGTCTATCGACCACTATATCGGCGGCCACTTTGCCAGTTAGATATGGTTTGAGTATAGCCGAAGCCAGTGTCGAACCGATACCGTAGGCAAAGTCTTCGATGTAGAGTACGGGTGCACTACTGGTTGGCCATAACTCGACTGTCCATACAGTATACGAGCATTGGATAACACTGTAACAGAAACCCGATATGACTGAGCATACGTAGAGCATCGGTAGATTTGGTACAATAGGCAATAGGGCAGTCACAATGGCCAGTATGATGAAGCATATGGCAACTACTAGTTGTCGGTTTAGATATCCATAGGTTAGGCCAACTGTTTGACAAACAAACAAACAAACAAAAAGTGTTATATAATATTATAATTAATTATTGTTAAGTTTGGAGTTTTTAAGTTTTTTATTATTAGACCAAATGTGCCGCCAATATAGCCAACTGTTTCTAATGTCTGATACAATGATATCATTGTCATTGAGGTCTGAAATATGTATTGCATTTCAACCATAATTGTCGGAAATAATGAAAATACAAGTCCCTTGAATTACAACAACAAAATAACAATTCAAAATAATTCAGAGTTAAACATATATTTAGATTTAAAAAATGATTTTTTTCAAGTATGTACTGTACTGTATATAACTATCTAAATATAATTATAATAAATATTTTGATTTAAAAAAATGAAAATACTATACTTACTAAAACCAATAATGTAAATATTAAGTAAATAGTGTAAAAATATTGATCCCAATCCCGTTTAATATTGGCATAATTTATATTAATTTTCATTGTTTAATTATATTTAAAAAAATAAATATCCTATATAAATATTATAAAAACAACTTTAGTTAAATTATATAAATTATTATTGAATAATAAAAACTAATAGTTAATAAACTGCTAATAGTATTAGTGATTTTAAAATAATATTTTTAAAATTTATAATCATTCTGTTAATTTAAAGTTATTATAAATAAAATTATTATTTTTATTATTATTATTTTGTACTTAACTTGTCATAAATTATCACAAGTTTAAGTTTATATAAAAATAATAATAATAATATTTTAGTAAACTTCCAATTTTATGTATCAGTTATAAACTAATAAAAACAATTGTAAATTTTGATATAACAATTAATAATAGTAACAATAATAGTAAAAAATAGTGACAATAAATAAATTAAATTAGTTTATCCATTTATAAAAACTTTGTAAAATTTATTTAATTAAATATTTTTATTTTCATATAGTCTAATTAAGCAAATAATCAGAAATTTTTTTTATCTTTATAAAATTTTTAATTTTAATTGTTACTATTTTAGTAAGTGTTAATATGTTTCTAAAATGAATCTAATTATTAATTAATAATAAATAAAATTTGTTAAAATCTCGTTAAAACTCATCTAAATATAATATTTTATTTAAAATATTAAACTTAAAAATTACCTATATGTTAAAAATAGACAGTAATCACATTACAATTAAAATATTGTAATAAAATATCTATAATTTTAACAAAAATTTGATATTTAAATATATATATATACACTCATGGACAAAACAATCTGTGAAAGGTTTGAGACCTAATAACTTAAAAACTACTAGATCAATTTTGATACAGTTTATGGTAATGGTAGAGTATATAAACTAGTTTATATAAAATTTAAAAAAATGTTCAAAAATAATATAAGTAATTTTTAAAAATTAATTAAAAAATGGCAAAATGTATGGAAGCAACTCTTAATGCTGGTAACGATGTTAATGAAAAACACAAAACTTTTCACTTATATTATTATAACTTTTAAATGACTAGTTTTAAAAAATTAATATTAATTATATGAAATCTTGATTATATACAGTACATTTACGACTAAACTGTATCAAAATTGATCCAGTAGTTTTTAAGATATTAGGTCTCAAACCTTTCACAGATTGTTTTGTCCAATACTGTATATAATATTAAGTTAATATGAAAACATATAATAAGCTTATATTTGATAAAAAAAATCATAATTGTATTTTACTATTTTTATTAAAATTATTAGTATAATTATTACTATTAGTTTTATTATTAAAATAAATATTGTAAATAAAATTATAGTTAAACTAATTGTTTTCCCAAATGTTTATAATACTAAAATGTTTGTTGTTGTTGTGTTTTTACACAAATGTCTGGTCAACCATTGATATCGTTGACTATCCAAACATAACTGTCCCTCAGTGTGGTATCGGTCGACAATCATTGCTGGCAAACGGCAAATGTTTTCAATGGTTATCCAATCAAAGTCTAACCCATGAACTGAATAATGGACGCATTGCAGGACCGGGTGAAGTGCCGTTTGCCGTATGGATTGTTTACAGGGAGTAAATAAACCAAAAAACAATTTAATTAATTAAAAAAATTACATAACTATATTGATGTTTTAAAAAAATAATTTTCTAAAAAATAAATAATTAATAATTTAATTTATCAGTAAATTCATAGCCAGTCATGGATCGGGTGTCATATTAAACAATCGGTGGATATTAACAGCAGCTCACGTAATATAGTAAATAACATTTATTAATTAATTATATAATTTTTATATAGTGTATATATTCTCTATAAAGTGTTTATATTTTTTTTAAAAATAAAAGTAACTAACTTATAACCAGGGTTTTTAAAAATGGCAGGCATAAACAATAGATGATGGTGACATCTATGATTTTAATTTTATATTAATAATTAATTAAAAAACACTTGTTTTATCTCTATAATTGTTTGGTATATCTATATAATTATACATTAATCTAATTAGAATTAAGTCTATTAATTGTATATTTAATTTACACAGTAAAAAAACTAAATTACGTTATTTGTATATGCCAGGCATTTATATGGCGTCTATTTGGGCATTGAGAAGGCAGGCATTTATTTACTAAAAACCCTGCTTATGACTATAATACATATTTGAAATTAATTTTGTAATAATATAGATTAATTAAATTATTAATTATTTATAAAATTTATAAAAACTATAAATATTAATAATAATAATAATAATAATGCAATATATATATTTTTTGCTGTTGTATTATTATTATATACAAATTATAGTGGATTTGCTATTAGTGATCTAACAATCTACCCGGGCAAATTGTTTATCGATTACAACGATTATGAAAATGGTTATAATATTGAGAAAACAGTTGTCCATTACAAGTATCCCAGGAGACGATTCCCGGCTTACGATATGGCACTCATCAAACTTACAGCTGACTTACCGCTTAGCAGCCAACTGTCCATTAATGGTCTTAACTATCGGACTCTATTGAACGGTATATGTTTGCCACCGTTGGATGCACTCAATAGCGAGGATGAGTTGGCACTGATGGCCGGTTATGGTTTAGTAAACAGAAATGAGAAAAGTGATAGACTTAAAATTGGTTACATTAGGATTAAGAAACCATACAATAATGCCAGAGATTTTTGGCGTATGATTATACTCGGGGAACGGTATCCATCGTATAATGGGACATTTTCATGTGCGGTATGTGTATGTGTATGTGTATGTGTATGTGTATGTGTATGTGTATGTGTATGTGTATGTGTATGTGTATGTGTATGTGTATGTGTATGTGTATGTGTATGTGTATGTGTATGTGTATGTGTATGTGTATGTGTATGTGTATGTGTATGTGTATGTGTATGTGTATGTGTATGTGTATGTGTATGTGTATGTGTATGTGTATGTGTATGTGTATGTGTATGTGTATGTGTATGTGTATGTGTATGTGTATGTGTATGTGTATGTGTATGTGTATGTGTATGTGTATGTGTATGTGTATGTGTATGTGTATGTGTATGTGTATGTGTATGTGTATGTGTATGTGTATGTGTATGTGTATGTGTATGTGTATGTGTATGTGTATAAGTATGTGTATGTGTATAAGTATGTGTATGTGTATGTGTATAAGTATGTGTATGTGTATGTGTTTATATATTTAATCATTTATCTAAATATACATAATTAGGGTGATTCTGGTGCTCCATTGTATCAGTATGTAAATGGTAGGGCCGTATTGATTGGTATAACTAAGGGCCGCAATACTATAACTTACAAATGTGATGAAATCGTTGACAGTGTTTATGTAGTGTTTGTGAGGATATCATTGTTTGTCGATTGGATTATTGATAGCATACATAATAATGATTTTATTTAAATTAAAATACAATAGTTAAATTAGAAATAAATTTTTATAAAATCAGTATTTTGATTTACATATTTTATTAATTAAAAAAAATATTACATTAAAAGATTTTTATTTTTAGTTGCAATATTATTATATAACATTAATAATATATATATATATGATAACAGTATGATGTAATATAATTTATTTTAATTATAATAAAATTTTAATATTTTTACGATGGATTCATTAACTCGCGTCTAATACTAATCCAATGGATAACACGTCTATTATTACGGATGCGTTGTCTATAAATGATGGCCAAACCAATGGCCAGTCCTATCGTGGAAACTGCCATCAGTAGTGATGTGCTTATTATAAATGCCTTATAATAATAATTACGAGATTCAATAATTTGATTAATAAAATCAATTTCATATGTACTATTGAAACATTTAGTAAAGTTATCAAGGTCATCAATTATATTATTATTAGACCCAGTTACACTGTTGTTGTTGTTGTTAACTATCATCACCATTATTAGCAAATAAATTACAAAAAACCAACTAAACATTTTATTTTAGTGATAATTTTTTTTAAAAAAATATCTATATGTAAAGTATATATATTTATAATATTGAAATTTATAAATAAACATTTTCATTGTTCACAACATTGTTTTAGACAAAATTATTTTTTTTATATAATGTTATTTCTCTAACATTTTATCATAATTAGAATCAAATATGTATGTGTGTCCATATAATGATTATATTAAAATAATAGTAAATGACTTTATTTGGGGTAATGGGATGGGATGTGCACACCTACCTACAATGATAGCTATTCCTATTGTAATGAACGGCCACATAAGTTTTGTACGTCTATAGACCACAACACCATCGGACACTTTGCCGGTTAGATACGGCTTGAGTATAGCCGAAAAAAATTGTTGTACCGAGACTGTAGTCCTCGATGTAGAGTACGGGTGCAGATTTCTGGGGCCACATTTCAATGGTCCATACGGTATACGATCCTATGATAACACTGGAACATAAGCCCGATATGACAGTTCAAAACTTAAAGCACCGGTAGATTTTGGTACAATTGGCCATACTGTGTTGGCTATGGCCATAACTAGTTGCCCGGTTCAGGTATCGATCAGGTTAGACTAACTGTTTTTTGATTGACAAACAAATAAAAATCATATAATACAGTATATATATATACACACAGTATCAGGTATAAGCAAGGGGAGGGGTCAAAATTTTTTTGATCTTTATAAAATTTTTAATTTTAATTGATACTATTTTAGTAAGTGTTATTATGTTTCTAAAATTTATATGAATCTAATTATTAATTAATAATAAATAAAATAGTTAAAGCTCATCTAAAAATAATATTTTATTTAAAATATTCAACTTAAAAATTAAAAATTACCTATATGTTAAAAATAGACAGTAATCATATTACAATTAAAATACTGTAATAAAATATCTATAATTTTAACAAAAATTCTGATAAAAATTTGATATTTAAATATATATATATATATAAATAATATTAAGTTAATATGAAAACATATAATAAGCTTATATTTAAAAAAAAAATTCATAATTGTATTTTACTATTTTTATTAAAATTATTAGTATAATTATTACTATTAGTTTTATTATTAAAAAAAATATCGTATATAAAATTATAGTTAAAATAATTGTTTTCCCCAAATGTTTATAATACTAATATGTTTGTTGTTGTTGTTGTGTTTTTACACAAATGTCTGGTCAACCATTGATATCGTTGACTATCCAAACATAACTGTCCCTCAGTGTGGTATCGGTCGACAATCATTGCTGACAAACGGCAAATGTTTTCAATGGTTATCCAATCAAAGTCTAACCCGTGAACTGAATAATGGACGCATTGCAGGACCGGGTGAAGTGCCGTTTGCCGTATGGATTGTTTACAAAGAGTAAATTACAATCAAAAAAAATATTTATTTTTTAATTATAATTTTTTTAAAAAATATCTATATTGATGTTTTTAACAAATAATTTAAACGTTTATTTTGTTCACAACTAAAAACAAAAAATAATTAATTTAATTTACCAGTAAATTCATAGCTAGTTATGGATCGGGTGTCATATTAAACAAACGATGGATATTAACAGCAGCTCACGTAGTATAGTAAATAAAATTTATTAATTAATTATATATAATATAACATATATATATATACTGTATAACAGGGTTAAGCAAGGTTTTGGATTTTAGTGGGGGGGGGGTAGACTGCGTAAAATTTGCAAAATTCTCGAAAAATCTGGGGGGGGGGGGGGTATTGGGTGGGGTAAGATTTTTATTGTATTTTTAAACGGCAATTTTTTCAAAAATCCAAAATCAAGGAGGGGGTCAAGAGAAAATTCCCTAAAAATTCCTTGAGTTCCCGAATATTCTCATGTAAATTCGATAAAATTCCCCATAAGTTCACGTACAAATTCCCAGGAAAATAGGTAAAATTTCCAAAAATATAAAAAAAAACTTAAAAATTAACAAAAACTTAAATTTTAACAAAAAATAAATATTTAAAAAAAAATTTAAAAAATTAATAAAACTTAAATTTTAACAAAAAATAAAATAATGTATTTTTGATTTAAAAATAGTTGATAAAAGCATTAATGATACACTATGAGTTATTTTTAGTATTTTAATAATTTTTAACTTTTAACATAATTATTTTTTTGGTATGTTTATAGTTTGTTATATATTTTTATTTTTTAAATGTTTTTTATACAATAACTGACTGAATACTACTTATTTAACTCAATTTTCGTTAAAGTTTTAGTTATATTAAGTATAAATTTAAAATATTTTTAAATTTTTTATTTAAAATTAAAAAATTATTAATAAAAACTTTTAATATAAGTATTTATTGTTTTATTAAATTCTTAAACTATCTTAAACTTATATTTAAATTGAAATATGATTACTCTTTTCAATAAATAGGTAATTTTTAATTTTTTAGTTTATTTTAATTAAAATAATGTTATTTTTGATGAGTTTTAACGTTATTTTAACTATTTTTAATCAATAATTAGATTCTTATAAATATTAAAAATATAAAAACACTTAATAAAATAGTATCAACTAAAATTAAAATTTTTATAAATCGCGCCGAAATTTTATAGAGGGGTCATTTCTCATCGTTTTTAAGCGACAATTTTTTCAATTTGGTCAAAAAGTCTGGGGGGGTAAAATCCCAATTTCTCGATCTTAGGGGTATTTTGGGCTTACCCCCTACCCCCTTACTTAACCCTGATATATATATATATATTCTTTATAAAGTTTTTATATTTTTTAAACTAAAAGTAACTAACTTATAACCAGGGTTTTTAAAAATGGCAGGCATAAACAATAGATGATGGTGACACTATGATTTTAATTTTATATAAATAATTAATTAAGAAAACATTGTTTTATCTCTATATTTGTTTGTATCTATCTATAATTATACATTAATCTAATTAGAATTAAGTCTATTAATTGTATATTTAATTTACACAGTAAAAAAACTAAATTACGTTATTTGTATATGCCAGGCATTTATATGGCATCTATTTGGGCATTTACTAAAAAACCTTGCTTATAACTATAATACATTTTTGAAATTAATTTTGTAATAATATAGATTAATTGAATTATTAATTATTTATAATATTTATAAAAACTATAAATATTAACAATATTAACAATAATAATAATAACAATAATGCAATATATATTTTTTGCTGATGTCTTATAATTATATACAAATTATAGTGGATTTGCTATTAGTGATCTAAAAATCTACCCGGGCAAATTGTTTATCGACGACAATGATTATGAAAATGGTTATAACATTGAGAAAACAGTTGTCCATTACAAGTATCCCAGGAGACGATTCCCGGCTTACGATATGGCACTCATCAAACTTACAGCTGACTTACCGCTTAGCAGCCAACTGTCCATTAATGGTCTTAACTATCGGACTCTATTGAACGGTATATGTTTGCCACCGTTGGATGCACTCAATAGCGAGGATGAGTTGGCACTGATGGCCGGTTATGGTTATGTAAACACAGAGGAGAAAAGTGATAGACTTAAAATTGGTTACATTAGGATTAAGAAACCATACAATAATGCCAGAGATTTTTGGCGTATGATTATACTCGGGGAACGGTATCCATCGTATAATGGGACATTTTCATGTGCGGTATGTGTATGTGTATGTGTATGTGTATGTGTATGTGTATGTGTATGTGTATGTGTATGTGTATGTGTATGTGTATGTGTATGTGTATGTGTATGTGTATGTGTATGTGTATGTGTATGTGTATGTGTATGTGTATGTGTATGTGTATGTGTATGTGTATGTGTATGTGTATGTGTATGTGTATGTGTATGTGTATGTGTATGTGTATAAGTATGTGTATGTGTATGTGTATGTGTATGTGTATGTGTTTATATATTTAATCATTTATCTATCTATACCTAATTAGGGTGATTCTGGTGCTCCATTGTATCAGTATGTAAACGGTAGGGCCGTATTGATTGGTATAACTAAGGGCCGCAATACTATAACTTACAAATGTGATGAAATCGTTGACAGTGTTTATGTAGTGTTTGTGAGGATATCATGGTTTGTCGATTGGATTATTGATAGCATACATAATAATGATTTTATTTAAATTAAAATACAATAGTTAAATTAGAAATATTAATACTATTATTTTATTTAAATTACAATTAGAAATTAGAAATAAATTTTTATAAAATTTTATAAATTAAAGTATCAGTATTTTGATTTACATATTTTATTAATTAAAAAAAATATTACATTAAAATATTTTTATTTTTAGTTGCAATATTATTATATAACATTAATAATATATATATGATAACAGTATGATGTAATATAATTTATTTTAATTATAATAAAATTTTAATATTTTTACGATGGATTCATTAACTCGCGTCCAATACTAATCCAATGG